AAAAAAAGAGTGCCGGCTTGTTAGCCCCCTATGCGATAGAAATAAAGCTGTAAAGCTGAGTGTAAAAAAAACAAAAAAAAATAGTAAAAATTAAAGTAACAGACAAAAAAAAATGTTAAAGTCCCCCGCCTCCCATGTGCAGGCACATACAACCCAAACACGCGTCGGATGCACCTGCGTGCAAAAATGAAAGTTGCGCCTCACGTTACATATGGTCGCGACCGTCGGAGTGAGAGCAATAGTTCTAGGCACATCAATCACTGGTAACACTAAACTGATGAGCTGTAAAAGCTTTTAAAGCGTCGCCTATAGGGAATTTTCGTTATTGTAGTTTTTTTCAGTTTCACGGACGCATGCAATTTTAAGACTTGGCATATTTGGTATCTATTTACCTGACATGACCCCATCTTTTATATTTTACCAAAAAACAAAAATTGGGTATTATATTCTGTTTCTGTGCGCTAAATTTCATTTTGGTGGATTTTATTCTAAAAATACTTGTTTGATAAACATTTGTGCAAATACCGTGCAACATAAAAAAATTGCACCTAGCATCTTTTTATTCTACAGGCTCTCTCCTTTTAGAAAATATACAATTGTTTAGGGGGTCTGAAGCGGTTTTCTAGCCAAAAATTCAGCTTTTATCATGTGTGTGCAAATGTAAGAAATTGCTCTGGGCAGCAAGTGGTTAACGTTCCATAAACAATGCAAGTTCAGTATCAAGACCAATTAGGCACATATTATCTTGTATGACCTAGTTATAGAAATCTGACCCGTTGCTATGTGTTACTGCATATCAAGAGGGCCATTTGCAACTCTGTTCTCAATAAGCCTGTGTGTTCATTTTATCCAGTATTAATGGGTAATAAAATAAAAGGCACACAATAATACAGCTATGTAATCATTAATACATTCTTCATTTATTTTAATGCAGGCAAAGTACCTGACTAAGTTTGTATCAGTCTGCTGCAAACTATTGTACAGACGAGCTCAGACTGCAGGAGGGAGAAGCAACACAAGGAGCCAATGCAAAGCCAAGCCAAAACACAAAAGGTGCTGCAATGCAAAAAGCATGCTCATGGGAGAGGGAGCAGAGTGACAGAGAGATAAGCTCATCAGTCTTCTGCTCCTCCTTCACTCACTGTCCAGTCACAGGTTGGGGGCTGGACAAGACCTGAAAGTGTTACTGTACTGCAGCAGAGAAAAGTAATGTCTCCATCCTGCCAGACAGGGTTGGCTGTGTAGCAGAGCTGTGTAAATCTCAGGACTTGATACACAGAATACATTTATACACAGATACACTTAGGCAGGTAAAGAAGCTCATTATATATATATATATATATACATACAGGGCTTGAAAATCCACTCGTCTGCGACGAGCAGACAGTGGAGCCCGACGAGCAGCTTCCTGGCCGGCCGTAGTAATTACACGGCCGG